GGCATCAGGACGCCACCAGATACATATAGTTTCTCACATTTTCCATACCTGTACCTCATCACTTCAGCATCTTCAGCAAGATGAAAAATGCCAATTTAAAGTTCAAAATTTCATCAATCTTTGAATGTTTTATTTATTTATTTATTTATTTATTTATTTATTTATTTATTTTTGGTCAGTTAACAGTCAAATAACGTATTTTCCCTCTTATATATAAAGACATTATTTATAGTTTTCTATAAACCAGGCTTTATCATTAGGGTTTTATATTACATAAGATTGATAAAATTACTTCCACAAACCTACATTTTTTTTTTCTATATATTTGTGTGTGCCTACCTGTATGTATGTGTGCTCCCAGAGAAAGGGAGAGAGTAGGGAGTTTGTGCGTGTGTATGTGTGCATGTGTGTGTGTGTGGGGGGGGAGAGATTATGATTTCTTTATGTTCCAATCACCATTTTAGATTCTGAGAACACCAAGATTCACTGACTCTTCCTTTCTAAAAGTCCATCTTCTGGTAGGGGAGACAAAGATGAGCCCAAATCTATTAAAGTATTGGTTCTGTGTGAGTTTGTCTAAAATAAGAGAATACTTTCATATGCTTTAGTAGCACAGAGAAGTGCATGATAAATTCCACCTGATGGCTTAAAAAAGAAAGCCAGGAAGAGCTTCACAGCAAGGGTAGATGTGTAGAAAGAATTAACTTCACCCAAAGAGAGGGCTTGTCTTTGTCCTGATTCCTGACTCCCGAAAGGTAATTTCTAAACCCTTCAAATTTCCCAACTTCTAAAATTGTCCTTGTTATTCATGGTGAACTCTTAGACCATGTTATAGAAAAAAATTTTTCAATGATACTTGTCAAAACATGATTTTTTTTTAAAAAAGCCTTTTTAAAGAGGACTATCTAGTTAGACATAGGGACCACGGAAATGTAGTTTTGCAGTGGGTGAGAAAGATCAGGCTCAATGCCAAATATATAATAGTCAAGTGGGAAATTACATCTACGGAGCATGGTGAGAGTTGGTGGATGGAAAATTACTAAAAGAAGACTTCAGAAGTGAAAAATATTCTGGCTAAACTCACCTAACAGAATTTCTGCTGAAGATAGACCAGGATGATCAGAAATCATCACAGGATAGTGGAAGATGAGGAACCCAATCAACTGTCAAGGGTGATCAAATATCAAGGGTAAAGAGTTCTTGCTGAACTGATTTAGTAAAGTTTGTTGATCCAGTTAAAACTGGATCTTACAAGGAAGTACAAGATGAGGATGAAGTTTCAGGAGCCTGACTAAAGTTTGACCAAGCAAAGAACCATCGTCAGCCACACCTAATCATTTTCTTTTCCAACTTTTTTTCAAGTTACACTGACAAATAAATATTATACCTATCTGAGGTTCACAAAGTAATGTTTTAATGTACGTGTACATTAACATGCCCATCACCTCACATAGTAACTTTTTTTGTCATAAGAACACTTGAAAACTACTCTCTTAGCAAATTTCAAGGTAAAACCGACCATGTGATTCAAGGGTTGGGATGCTGGTCACCCATGTAGATAATAATACAATCAACTGTGCCTGTCTAATGAAGTTCCAATAAAAGCTAAGAAGATGAAAGTTCAAATGAGCTTCCCGGTTTGGCAGTACTCCATGCATATTGTCATGAAACCACCTTTGCAAAAATATGACAGTAAGAGAAGCCTGACATGACTGACTCCGTCTTGCTTCTTCTCACACAGACTGGCTGTCTTTGCTCATGCCTGGACTTGGGCCAAACTAACTTTGGGAGAAATTTGGTTTGTAGTTTAAATGATAATAGCCCTTCCCCAAAACTAAACTCTTCTTGTAAAACTAATTAAATACTACCAAGTTAGAAGTGGCTTAAATTCTAAATAATTACCAGCCATAATTTGAGAGGTCATAAGATTTGTAACATTCTCAATTTACTCTTGCAGATAACGTTGCTATCGGAGAACCTATGATTGGCCTTTTGAGGTGTTTTTCAGGTTTTTGCTTTTTTTGGGTTTTTTTGGAGACGGAGTCTCATCTGTCGCCAGGTTGGAGTGCAGTGAGGTGATCTCTGCTCACTGCAAGCTCCGCCTCCCAGGTTCAAGAGATTCTTCTGCCTCAGTCTACTGATTAGCTGGGACAGCAAGCAGCGCCACCACACCTGGCTAATTTTTGTATTTTTATTAGAGATGGGGATTCACCACATTGGCCATCTGGTCTCAAACTCCTGGCCATGTGATCTGCCTGCCTCGGCCTCCGAAAGTGTTGGGATTACAAGGGTGAGCCAAAGTGCTTGCATTTCTGACCACTGAATAACCCCATCTGGACCCACTAATCAGCCTTGTAGCCCCCCACTCACGAACTGACTTAGCATAAAAGCACAGCTTTGATTACCTATGATTTCTTCTCCAACACAACCAGTCAGCATGCTCCCTACTCTAAGCCCCTGTCCACCGAACTATCTTGGAAAATCCCCTAACTTTTGAGCCTTTGAGGAGATTGACTTGAGTTATACCTCCATGTCTTGAAAGGCGCGGCCAGCCTCACGTCAAATAAACTCTTTCCTTACTGCAATGCCATGGTCTTGGTGAGCTGATTTTGTCTGTGCAGTGCACAGGAAGAACCCATTGGGCAGCCAGAGTCACAAAAAGATGACAAGGGGATAATTGTCCCTGAGGACATAGATCCCTTTTTAGTTTACTTTCCAGACTTCACCCTATATGTCTCTTTTTTTCACTGGCATAAAATTGTGTCTTCCTGTTATTAAAAAATAACAAAACCTGCTATTGTATGTATAGGCTTTTCTGCATTCCTTGAGTTGTTCTAGTAAATTATTGAATTTGAGGGTAGCTGCAGGAACAAGTCCGATTTCATGATCAGCTGGTATAAAGTAGGGTGGCCTTGGGGAAACCCAAAACTTTCAGATGCTGTCTAACATGAGGGGAGTCTTGTGGAGATTAGTCCTATATTATGCAATTTACGTAACTCATTACAGCAGCATTATTTAAATTTGTGTTGACAAACTTGTGGATTTGGGTAGCTAGATGGATATTTGCATACAGAATGAGGAATCCTCCTACGATGTAATTCACTCTAAGACTGAAATACCAAACTTAGATTGTTAGTGGGAAGGGGTGTGCTCAGAGTGGGCATTCTGTTTTACATTTAATTATTATTTTTTTCCTTCTGAGACCCATCTTTATTCTCACTTGAGTCATATGTAAACCAAAGTGAAAAAATAAAGGCAAAGCAAATTAAAATCATGAAACATAGTTCAGTGAAAACTATATTAGGCTGCTGAGGCACAAATAGCACTACCTCAAGGGCTATTTGGGGCAAATAAGTTGGATTAACTCTCTTACCCATTTTGATCTCCCGCTTTGTCTTTTAGTATTGTGTAACTTATAAAACTAAAAGCTAAATTATATGACTTCCTTGCAAGTGGGAGTTTAAATATTATTTTTATGTAACTGTGTAGGGCTTGATTTGAAAAAGAATCCAAGAAGCAGAGAAGCAAGGTGGCATGAGCCACCCATTACCAGAAATTGAATGTAGCGGTATTTTCAGAAGTTATATTGAGATTTTCCCATTTTTTAGATCATGCCAAGACAGCAACTTTGGAGTGGTGACTTGTTCCACTGTCCACAGATAACATAATGATCCTGTAGTACAAGACACTGCTTTGGAGTGTGCCTGTGAGGTGAGCTTCTGGAAGTCATTCCTGGAAGCTTAAATAGGCTTGTATGATTAGGAAAGTGAGTCTGCAAGGCAATTTTGACCCACTGCTTAACCCAGTTATACTCAGTTCAGCAACTAAACCCTGATTGATAAAGTATGATGACCTTCTAAGAGAATATATACAAAATTAAAAGGAGACATCAAAGTCCTCAACTAATGTAATCTATCTGGAAGACTGTTAGAAATACACATTTTCAGGTTCAACCATAGACCTACCAGAATCAGAATCTGCATATATATATATATATATATATATATATATATATATATAGTATATCTTCTAGATAGAGTATTATGTTTATATTATTTATATACACTCTGAGAAACTATGTATTTGTATATATTTGTATATTCTAGCAGAGGAAAAAAGTAAAATAAATACATTTAGTGACAACTACTAAGGAGAAAAAGCAACAAGATGATTCGTTACAAAATAATTGGGGAAGGTCCTGCCACTTTAAATAAATTAATGGGCAGGGTAGGCCTCTGAGAGGTTCTAACATTTGAACTGAGACAGAGTTGGTGATAAGGATCCAGGCACGAATAATCTGAAGAATATTTCACATAGAAACTGTCAACTGCAAAGGCTTTGAGACAGAAATGGTTTGACATGTATAGATAATAGAAAAGCTATTGTGACTTGAATATGGTGAGTCAAAAGAAAATGAAAAGATAGGAAAATGTAAGCATGAACCTGATATACCGGCCTGTCTCTGACATAAAAAAGAACGTTGATTTATACTAACTGCAATTGGAAGAACTATTAGTGGGTTTTAATCAAACAAGTAGTTTGATATGATTTAACTTAAAAAGACAAATTGTAAAGAATAGATAATAGGATTGAATAGATGAAAGAGGAGTTTATATTATGACACATGCAAGAGACAAAAGTAGCTTGGATTAAAGTGGGAGTAGTCAAGATGGAGATAAATGAAAATATTCAGTATTTTATACATTATTTCAACAGGAAATGAAAACGATTCTGATAATCCTGAGATGAACACAGGAGTGGAAAAGGTTTGGTTGCAGGGCTATTCCAAACTCTGTTTTTGTACATTCTGCTAAACTAGATTGAGATATCTCTCTTTTTTTTTTTTTTTTTTTTTTTTTTTTTTTTTTTTTTTGCAGGGGGGAAAAGAAACACAAGTCTTTATTGGTAAATAGCTTACAATGAAATAAATAGAGCAGGGGTTTGTTAAACAATAAAAACTAGGACAGAGGCTAGGTGTCTCTCCACCCTTGCCTCCGGCCCTAAGCTTCAGCCCTCTGGCTGGACACTTTGGATGATGAGGACTTGATGTTGATGGGCAGCCCAGCCTTTCTCGAGCCCTTAGGGGCCTCTGTCTTCCTGGACAGGTGTGCAGGCACCACCTTGGACCCACTGGCCTTAGCAGAAGCACCCTTGGCATTCAGCCCCTGCCCAGCCCTGGGGGCAGCTGCCCCTCTAGGGGCCTGGGCCTTGGCTACCAACTTCTTTTTGGTTGGGGAAGCAGCACCATTCTTGACCTTGCTGACCGTGGGTCTTGAACTCTTACTCCCAGCTTTGGTTTTCCTGCAGGCCTCAGCATCTCCTTGGCTCCTCCTGCTGCCTTTGGCCTCTGCCTTCCTGCTGAACCCGCTGGCACTAGAAGGGGCCCGCGTGGCCTTGTCTGGCTTGGGGGGCACCTTCTGAGCCTCGCCTGGCTGTGCCTTGCTGCCTTGCTTGCGAGCTTTTTCTGTGGCTGCGCCTGGCTTGAGAGGAAACTTCTGCGCCTCTGCTGGCCTCTTGGCTGCCTTGTTCACCTTGCCTGCCTTGGGAGGCTCCTCCTTGGCCTCATCTGGTTTCTTGGGGACTTTCCCCTTGGCCTCGCCCACTTTCCGAGGGGCCTCTTAGATATATAAATGAAGGAGGCAAATAGGTCACTTAAAATGAGGCTAAAGTTCAGAAGAAATGTTAGCGTTGTAGCTGAAATGTGTTGATCATCTCTACTGGTGTTGTATTAAAAGAAAGGTTTGGTAAAAACTTTCTAGTAAAAATATATGTATGGAGATAATCAAAAACGTTAAGAATGAATTGTTGGAGTTTCTCTTGCATCCATAGATTAAGAAGATTAGAAAGGGACAATGGTAATGGAAACTAAGATGAAAAATCAGTGAAATTAGAGGAAAAGAAGACATGTATAGGCTGGGCATGGTGGCTGATACCAGTAATCCCAACACTTTTGCAGGTCAAGGCAGGAGAGTTGCTTGAGTACACAGTTCAATGCCAGCCTGGGCAACATAGCAAGATACCTTCTCTATAAAAAATTTCAAAAATTACCCAAGCATTGTGGCACATGCCTGTAGTCCCAGCTACTAAGGAGACTGAGGCATAATTGCTAGAGTCCAGGAGTATGAGGCTGCAGTGAGCCATAATTGTGCCACTGCATACCAGCCTAGGTAACAGAATAAGACTCCATCTCAAAAAAAGAGACATGTGTAATGTGTATGCTTTTGGCACAATATCACTTTACACAATATTACAAGAATAGATTGGTAGAAATGAAATCTACATAAAAAGTAGGAAGACAGAAACACAAGCATCACATCCAAACAAATTTGATAAAAGTTATACTACGAAGCGGGTCAGAAAATGGGGCAATAATTGAAGAAAGGTGGAAGCTTAAAATTCAGGTTTGCATTTCGCTTTATTTTGTCTAATAAAAGATAAGAAGGGATATTTGCATGCCAGAAGATTATTATTATGATAGAGAGAATACACACATTTGTAAAGCAAAGTCTCTGGCAATTTACAAGGAATGAGATCCAGAAACTAAGAAGATAATATATTTTTTTTAAATAGGGAAAACACTTCTTGTTTTTAATAGAAAAGACTGTTGAAAGCAGATATAGACAGAAGCAGATTTTTAGGCATAGTTATAGAAATATAAGCCATTTCCTATTTTTTCATCTGACTTATGAAGAGAGTTAAATACCAGGAGTCTTAGGATAACCGTGTAGTCTTGCTCTTCCTGTGGTAACTAAAGCAAACCCAAAAATAAACCATGATGGCATTGGTTCTGTTAGTCTTTTGTAAGAAGGTGGCCAACAATTTCAAATTTGAGTCCAGAATATTTAGCTAATAACTACTGACATTTAGGCAACATTTATCTAGTGATTGTATGGCAAGCCTGAATTTAAAAGTTTTATTTGAATCTGAATTTAGCCCAGTGACTAAGTTTTGGTAAATGAGATTGCAGTGACTTCTGTCAAAAACTGCTGAGAGTTGGACCAAGCCTCAGAAGCTAGGAGCATAGTTCTCCACAGTATTTTCCTCATCTTACTTCAGATACTAGACAATAATTTAGGGGCCCAGCTTGTGAAAAAAACTTGGAGGTTTTCAATGTCCTCTCAGGTTCAAAAAATTGGTAGAATGACTCATAAAACTCAGGTCAGAACTAAACTTATGGTTAACATTTTATTACAAAAGATTCAATAAAATGAGTGACATTATGCAGACTACTGCCAACCAGAGACACTCACCCATGCACTGGTGTCCAGAGTTTTTATTGGGGTTTCATTGTTTAGGCCTTATTGATCTAAATATTGTCCATGTAAGTGAATTGCATTTCCAGTCCTCTTTCCTCCTGGGAGTTTGGGATGATATCATATGAATCAAAGCCTCAACCCTCTAATCACATGATTGATCTTTCTCTGATGGACAACCCTCATTGGCATCATCTTGATAGCATAAACGATGAGGGACTCTCCCTGAGACATCTTGTTAACATAAACTATCAGATTTGGTCCCAGGGGACCACACTTCTTGCCACTTTGAAAAATTCCAAAGATTTAGAGATAAGTTCCCAGAAACCAGGGGCAAAGACAAGCCAATTTCTCTATTTCAAATATTTACTGGTTACTTCTTAGCAATCAGGATGAAGATAGGCCACATTCTTCATTATGCAAAGATGTAATTAAAAATGTGGGTATGATTTGCTAGAAAATAAACTTAAAGGGAGCTAATTTAACTGAGAAGAAAACCCAGGTATCCTTCTATTTTATTGTGTTTTTCTTTTTTAGTTCTGTTATCTACATGTTGTCTAGAGCTAGAACAGCCATCTTAGATCATAAGTTGAACTTGAAGGTACACTCTAATACAAGGCTTGGTAAACTACAGCACATGATAAATCCAGTTAATCACCTGTTTTTGTATAGAGTTTTATTTGCATGGGTTTGCAGTCATAAATACATTTTTCCATATTGCCTAAGCCTACTTTTGTGCTGTAAAGGAGAGCTGATGTTTTGTGTCAAAAGAAGAGTTGAGTGGTTATAATGGAGACTATATGTCTTGGATTTATTAAAATATTTCTATCTAGTTTCTTAAGTTTTCCTACCCCTATCTAGAATGATGGAAAATGAAAGAGAATATGTATGTCTTTGGTAATAGAACTTTATACAAGTTCCAGACAATGCATGTTCAGGCTTCTATCAGGTATTTAGATAAACCCAACCAATTTTTGTCATTAATGATGTATCTGTTATGTAGCATAACTGATACCTAATATTCAAAAAGTACTTTACATTAAAAACTAATACATTTAAATGTTTACCATGTGAACATTTTGCCATATGTCATTTATTTTACTCTTAGAGAGGTTTAGAAACTTTTTTGAAAATTTATGTCAAAGCCTCATTTTGTTAACACTCATCAGAAAGGTGCTAATTGGAAAGAAAAAAGTTGGAGAGAATTTTAAGAAAATTGTTAATATCTTTCCTTTTTGTCTAACATAATTTTCAATGATTCAACATTTGCTATAATCTGAAATCTTCTGAGAATGGAGACATTGCTGCAAATATCCCACAGTAAGATATACATTCTACTAATTGCCATATGTCAAATTTTTAATCTCCCCACTTAGTGAAAACTTATTTTTCTGTGCTTGTTGTTAGTGATAATATTTTTAACAAAGATATTATGTCTTCATTTAATAAAATATTCAGAACAAAATTGACTGAATTTTCTAACATTTTATAGAAAATGTTATTAACATCTGGAAGGCTCTTCATTGACATTGAACAAATGCTACATTAGGTTTTAGTGTTTTATATCTTACAGTAGATCAAATAACATCCCAACCTATATCAGGCAAATGTCATGGTTATAAGAATTTACAGTAGTGTCTTAGCATATTTCCATAATTACACATTTATTTAACCAATTAAGCATGAAAGGGGCATTATTGTCAGAGATATGATGTATGACCTGAACATAATTTGGTTAATGAGGAACAAGAAATGCCTGCTAAGTAGGGCAGGTATTCTGTTAGCAGCGACTGCTAATTGCCTCTGACATATGTCAGATTGAATGGCCTTATGTGAAAAAAAATGCTGAGTGGAGAAATCATAATGAAAATAGGTCTCATCTTTTGGTTTATAAAATGTTTGTAAACACTTAGCTCTACGAAGTTGAAGAAAGAAATTTTCTATAGACTGTAGTTGCAGGCATTGTGCAAATTCTCCTGTGTAGTCAGTCAATGATAAATAACTACTGTCATTTCATGTTTTTGTCTGTTATAAACTTCTAGAGAAAAATCTTTACTCCCAATTTCTAATTATGAAGGCTCCCAAATGGATCCACCCACAAAATCCCTTGGCTTAATTTGAAGCCAAGTCTTAAATCATAGCATCCCTTTAACTCCTTCAACTCTTTCTCTTTCATTGTAAATAACAAAGACAATCAACATTTTGCCTGAGGATGAGAAAAAACCTAGAAGGTAACAGAGTTTCGAATTGTATTGTAGAATTTCAGTGATGTTGCATACTTCCGGTTGACAAAGAATTAATGTAAACTTAAGCAAATCTAGGGAATGTGTCGTGGGGTTTGAAGGTGATAGCTGCTAGGAAATATGAAACACCATATAAAAAAGAAGACTCTGAAATACAAGGTATTTATCTTTATTGACAAAAAATAGAAAAAAAAATAGCTCTAATGACATCTTGAAGTCACTGACATAATTCAGTATTATATGTAGAGCCTAGATTTGTGACTCCAAGCAGTATGCATTAAAGTGTATAGAAATGGTCCCTCTGAAAGACTAAAAATGAACTCTTTTATATAATTTTCAATGAGCAATTTGCTAATATGGCTGTTTTTAAAATGCTACATTAAGGAAGCAGTGTAGCACAGAGATTGTAATATTACATAGTTTTTATACCTTCTAGATGTATTGTACTGGTCAATTTAAATAGCTTTCTTTAATTCAGTTTATGTAATGAAATTCTATATATTATTATTAAACCTGTAAGTTTATTACACAAAAATAGTACTTAATATTTACATAAAATAGACTTGTCTGCATTTGTACTCCATACCTTCTCTCTGTCACCCAAAAAAATGTGGTTTCCTCTTAAACAAATAGTATATTCAAGTTATATAAAGTATACAGTGAACTGCACTAAAATTAATATTATCAGCTTCACAATCCATTTCATTAAAAGCAATAATTTTGAGAAGACAATAATATATTCTCTTAATATTTTCCAGCTTTACAAGTCCAATTTTGGGTAAGTTGGTTAGTTTATAGAAATACTTTTTAATTATTTGAAAAAATTATACATAATTTAAATGTAAGCATATTTTTAACATTAAATTTTTAGATACCTTGTTTATGTTTGGTTCTTTAAAATTAATTATTTTCACTGTTAAAAATATTAGTCATAGTCAATAATTTTATGCTCCTTTATAATAAGTGTAGGTAAATACAACTAAAGAAGTTTGAAAACAATTTTTGTTGCTAGTTTTTAAAATTGTCATATAAGTTGGGAATATCAAAGACAAATACCTTTTTATATGACATGTAATGCAATTCCATATTGGTGTATGCAGTTACCATTTTGTTCCAAAACT